TTGCAGAATCAGCTGCTTTTCACAATGACTTTCTGCCTTGCAATTGTCGCCCTGGTTTTTGTGCCTCTTTTCATCGTCACTTCCCCGAGGGCGATTCTCTACGAAGTCCAGGGCCCTGAGTCTGGGCCGTCCGAGGAGGGGGAAAGTGCCCTCGAGAACTACTCTGCAAGAACGGTCACTGAGAGCACCTGGTACGAGAAACTCTACGACTTCTCCATCATAAGGACAGATGATGACGTTACAAGCAAGAACACAAACATAGCCTTCTTCACGAGCATAAGCGTTGACACGGAGGTAAAGAGTCTCCTGCAGCTGAGCCCGTCGCCTCTGCAAAGCAACAGGTCGTACGAGGTCTTCCAAAACCTCCCGGAAGTTCCCCCCGTATTCTTCGCGGAGAGCAGCACCCCAGCCCTCCAGTACACGATACGAGCGGACAACCTGAACCTCCGGAACAGGCAAACTGCCGTCTGCATCTTCTACGCTGATCCCTCAGAGAGTGCCCTCAGAGGATACGTGCTCAACAACATAACAATGCGCGCCCGGAAAACGACAGAGATCATCCTCCTCCTGGACGAGGAGAGAGACTTCGTCCGCCTCATAGACCTCGACGGAAACAGCCTCAGCATCTCCGAGGAGTAAATCACGAAATAAATAAAGACAAAACACGCAAATTCTGCGCAAAGGATCGTATTCGAGCTATTATTCGGGCAGCTTTTATTTCTTGGGGGGAGACTTCCCAACTGCCTCCAGGATCCTCCGGGAAATCTCCTCCTTTGGAAGGCTCCCGTCTATTCGCGTCAGAGTGTTTGCCTCAACAGCAGCTTCTATCACCTTCCCCGTCTTCTCAATAAAGTCCAAAATTCGCCCTTTTATTAGCTCCACTTTGTCGTCCCCCCGCCGCACAAGAAGATCCCCCGTAACGTCGTCTCTCCCCGGGACTTTCGGGGGGTTGTACTTCGTGTGATATATCCGCCCAGACTCCGCGTGACACAGCCTTCCCTCGACTCGGTCCATAATGTACTCCATCGGAGTGTCTAGAAAGAGTATTCTGTCGTACGGAAAATCGATCGAGCGAAGCTGCGCCTCCGTCCGAGGATACCCGTCCAGAATAAAGCCTCCTGACTCCTCCTTCACCCGCGCATTCACAAGGCCCCGAATAACCTCGTCGCTCACAAACTGCCCAGAGTTCAGCTGCGCCCGTATGTAGTGCGCCAGTTCCGTGTCTCGCTGCATCTCCTCCCGCAGAATATCCCCGGACGAGATGTGCTTTATATCCAGAGTCTTCGCCAGTATTTTGCACTGGGTCCCCTTCCCTGCCAGCGGAGGCCCCACCATTAAAAGCCTGCACATTTTCTTGCCGCACAAGTTTTTTCACATAAATCCCCCGAATGTGCGACTGCGATGGGCCTGGGCCCTGCAGAAAAGCGAGGCATCTTGGTCGAGTGGTCTAAGACGTGGCACTCAAGATGCTATCCTTTACAGGGCGTGGGTTCGAATCCCACAGATGTCATTTTTATTCGCCCTGTTTTTTTCCCCCATGCCCGCAAGAACGCCGAGGAGAACAGCCCACAAGAGAACGCCGTACAGGCAGAGAGCACAGGAGCAGAAGGAGCACCAGAATGAAGAGCCAAATTCCTCGCTCACCGACATAATTAAGTACTACAAGGAGAAAGAGACAATCCGGGAGGAGTACATCCTCGCCCTAAAGGAGGAGGTCGCCCACTTGAGAAGGGCGTCCCAGGAAATAGACTACCCAGCCCTCACAGGACTCACAATCTCAAAGGAAAAGAGCCTCCTCCACTGTAAACAGGCCATAGAGAAAGAGGGAAAAGTCTCCTCAATCGCATTCACTTTGGAGGAAACCCCGGACGGATACACGTACAAATACAAAGAGAGCGCAAACATCGAAGAACTCCCGGAATACTTAAAGAAGGAAATTTACTTTGACCAAAACCAAATAAAACTCTTCTTCTTTAATGTCTACGAGTGCGTGGCCAGAGATGAATAAACTACAGGTTAAACGAGCTGGAGAGGCGCTTGAAAAGACTCGACTCAAATTTTGGGCTTGCATTTTTTGTTCTTTCTGACTCCTCGGGGGGGCTTGTTTCTGGGCGCTGCCGACGCACAAAGCCCTTCTGGTTCTCCGGAGAGCGTGCTTCCATAAGAAATATTTCCGAGGCCAAAAAAGAAATACCCGCGAGAGACCCGGAAAGTGAATGTCCCAAATAACCCTGAAAACTCACAGTTTATGCGCATGCCCCCGTATACTCACGCCCTGAAAATCCCACAGTCTCCTGCAGGAGCACGCTCCAGCTTCCAAGAGCGTGCCCGAAAGAAGTGCGGAAATACCAAAGAAACGTGCAGGAGAAGATTCTGGCTCTCCCAAGAAGTGCGCTGGGCTTGCACTTTCCAGCCTGAATTTTGCGCCTGATACGGGCCCGCAGGAGCACACACCCGGGGAACTTTCCAGGGACAGCACGCACTCTTAAGAGCCTCCGCGCAGATATTCTCCCTCTGTAGGCTCTATACTATCCCATTCCTGCAATCTGATGTAGATGTAATTTTGTATATAATTTTCTATTTTTTATTTGGAAATGGTTCCCCCTATGCCCTTTAGCACAAACAAGAAAACTCCTTTCCAGATGCCCAAAATATTTTGGTCTCCCTCGCAGGAAATAATCGACTCCCCGTGCACGAAGACGCTAAAGAACAGGCACAGCGACATAAGAGCCAGGGCACTGCTTGATAAATTCATAGAAATAAAGCTAAGGGAAGAGCAGAAGGAAAGAGCCCAAACAAAAAAATAAAGAAACCATTAGTTTACTTTTAAATACACTACCACTCAAGGTCGCCATTTGCCACGTTGAATGTGTAATCGGTTCTCCCAATTGTAAGAAACCCATGCTTCAGGGTGCACCTTCTCTTGTCCTTCACCCGAGTCACTTTGTCAAAAAGGCACAGCATAACATTTTTTGTGGGCTCTTCACTCTCTACGTCGCAGTCACTCTCGGAAAGATCGTTCGAGTCCAGCTCCTCCTCGTTCTGCTCCTCCCCCAGGCCGTCGAACTGGTCGTCGTACCGCTCATTTTCCGGGTCTTTCTCCTCCTTCTCCTGGTAGTAGTACGGATAGTCCCTGTTGTAGCCGTACTCTGGGTATGTGTATCCCCCGTTGAAGTACCCCTCCATGTTCACCCGGCTCTCGCTGTAGTTGTGCCGGATCTTGTACTCGCCTATGTCCGTGTACTCGCATATTTTTGCGATCCAGGTATTCTTTATTTCGTCCAAAATTGATGCATCTATGCCTATTCTGTAGCTGTCTTCTGTTGTGCTCCTTATTACTTCTTCTATTATTTCTCTATACACACGAGGCACTTCATTACTCATCCACACAAAAAAAGAAAAGAGAAAAATGATTGTTACTTGCAGAAATTGCCGAGGAGAAATTACAAGCAGAACGTGGAATGAGCACACAAATTGCAGCTGCCTAATTTCAGAGGAACCTCCCGCAGGGACAAAGCTAGAGGACCAGCGAGAAGGGAGAATTCGCTGCGTAAAGTGCAACTCTGTTTTGGGCCGATTCAAGTGGCACGGAGCCAAGTGCATGTGCGGGAGGTGGACATTCCCGTACATAAGCGTCCACAAAAGCAACACGGACATTATGCACGAAGAGAAAAGCACTCCCCCAGAAGAAAAGCAGCTCCCAGAAGAAAAGCTTCCTTTCTAGGCGGTTGCTGC